CCCACAGAATAGTGTGTGCATTGCTGAGTGTGGTTTTACACCTAGATTTGCTAAGGAAAGAGGGACAACAGAAAATACATGGTATTGTGGTAAGTGCCTGAAGAAAACAAGCCCTTGTAAGACGGGTAACACAGAGCACATTTGAGTTCTGTGCATTAACTGTTTGAGTTCTTATTTTTATGATCATTTTTTTCATCAAGCACTAAGAGTTGGAATTAACAAGAGAATCCAGAAAGATTTCAGATATAAAAAAGTTAGAAACAGAAAATGGTTATACAGTTCCCTTATGTTTACCTATCTTTCAGCAACAACCAAATAACCAAAGCTTCTATAGCTCTCAATATGTGAGCTTTCTTTCCACAGATAGGAAAGAAGACCATCTCTTTTCTTTGTATGAATGTTTATATTTAATAATAGTACCTTTTTGGGAAAGTTTGTACAGTCAAGGCACTGTGATTACATATGCAGTAATTTATTCAGTCACAATTACCACTTCACAGATAAAGGATTCAGATATAGGTATGATCTGTATAAATCCTTTAGTTAGTAGCTAGCAGAACCAAGCCTTGCATTCAAGTGGGATGTAAAGATCTTTTTATCTGAAAGCTTATTTGGACATTGTCATATTTTCCTATAAACAGAGGAGAAAATCGTGCCTGAACACAGCTATAGGTTCAGTATATAACTGGCTCGAGGCCACTGTCTTGCTTAATCTTGCCCACTCCTAAGAGTTTTTATCCAGGGATAAAAATAACTCTTAGGGGCCTCCCAATGCATTCTGGACTAAGACTAAAGAAAGCTCTTTTAAAGAGCCTGCTGATTTACCAAATCTGGCTGCTGAGATCCTCTGTGCTAAAAATAAATAGGAAAGTCATGATTGGGGGCCAAATTTCCAAGTCATAAATCAGTTGCAATTGCATGTGGGGGCAGGGGGCACAGGATATGATTTCTTTATAAGTGAGTTCTTCTCTACCATTGAAAATCTTATTTCAAACATGCTCCAAAAGTTTGAGGATTAAAATTGCTCTGAGACTTGAAAAAGGAGCCTGGAAGCACACAGCAGAGTATTAGAAATACTTATTGACTTCTAGGTTTGAGCTTGTCCAGCTCCCAAGATGTGCTTGGATGATGACAGTTTGATGAGATGTCCTGTGAAGCCTTGTCTGACAGGCTTACTAGCTTCAGTGTTGGCCTGAGCAGTTTGTACCTACACAATCTCAAGAGATTTCCCACTCCTTTAAGCCATGGCCTTTTAAATGGAGGAATCATTTGTTTACCTATTCCTAGTAGCATCAGGTGTTGACTGGTCCCTAGACTTACTGGTTAGTCAACTATTGTTTTACCACAACTGAAGACCTGCTTCCCAGAAGAGAGGCCAGGTGCCACAACAGAGCAAGGGCCTTCCTGATCAATGAGTTTGTGGCTTAGTCATTTTCATTTTTTAAAATAATTGCTTTTATGGGTCCATGTTTGCAGTACACAGGGATTACACTCCTCATGGGGAGTTGGCCCATGCACAGAATGATCTCAAGTCTTTTTACCTTTCCATCCCCTTCCTCCTTCACTCCCTCTACAGAGGGTGAGGTGAGAAAAGAACGGGGACTGCAGTAGACGCAGTTGTGCTGCTCAGATCCTCCCTTCAGAACCCAACATTTACTTTGATAGCTGGGAATTCTGCTAGATAACAACCTCTGGCTGTAAGCCCTCTCTGAAAATTGCTTTTGGCAGAACAGAGCTGCTTGTCCCAGCATGTGACAGCCCCATGGCACCATGGTAGTTTCAGAACACCTCAGAGGTTGCTCTGTGCTAACCTTCTCTGTCCAGCCCTGCTTCTTTTGCCCTAAGAGTAGACGCCAGGCCCACAGTGCTCCTGATGCTAACTTCTTGGGTGGGCTTCCCAGGGAGTTTGATCTGGAATAAGCTCAGTCACAGCGCTTCCTCTTCTCATTTTATGTACAGATGGTCCCTACCTCCATGGTTTCATTTACAATTTCTCAACTTTACAGCGGTGTAAAAGTGATACGTCTTCAGTAGAAAGACTGTCTCAAAAGTTGAATTTTGAACTTTCTGGGCTAGATGCTGGGCAGCAGCAGTCAGCCACAGCTGTCAGTCCACAACCACGTGGGTGAGCCACAGATACTTTACAGGGTGCTGTGGTGCTAAGCTAGGAAGTTCCGTAGGGAAAGCGTATCAAGTACGCTTTCGACTATGTTGTATTTATCAGAATGCAACCACGCTGGAAGTCGAGAAGTACCTGTAGTTTGGATATTTGTGTAAGATTTCATTTAAAGCAAATTAAACTAAAAATCTTTGAAAGCCTCTGGTTACATGTTAAACAAATGCTTCACTTATTATGAAAAGTTATCATTATAGCTTTATGTAAGGCCAATATCCAAAGAGTGTTTTCCATTTGTAATTGTTCATCAGCCTTTGTTGATATGTGCTAACATATAATCTTGTGCCTTTAAAAACAGAAAAATATGTTAAATTTAAATAATGGCTATTTTTAATATTGCACATCTAAAACCTGGAAAACATACTAACAGAAGCAATCATGACAAACCACAAGAAGGCATTTGGTAGATGGCACTTTGCCTCAAACACATCTCTCTTCTCTCAGAAAAAAAAATTCATTTATAGGTTTTGTTATAAGTAACTATGGGATAAATAAGTAAATGATATAGATTTTTCTTCCATTAGAAAACTTCCATAAAAATGTATCAAACAAAAATGTATCAAAGTGTATCAAACAAAAAATTCAGTCTTATGACAAAAGTTACCTTATTTTGTGATGTTTTGGAAAACAGGCAAAGAAATGTCCAACTAAATTGATGAAAGGTTAAACAAGAAGACTTTAATTGTTGAAAAGATAAATGAAATTTTCTAGGCATCTGAATGACTACTTTGGGATCTTAGTAGGCCTCTTCAGAATTCATTCAACAATTCTAACTTAGGTAATAATCAAGACAACAGAAAGAAGAAATGCAACTAGGAGGCAGAGGTTCTTTCCTACTTTCTTTTGTCCCAGAGAGCAGATACACACATCAGGCCTTGGCTTTCCACTCCAGCAGTGAGAATGAGAAAAACAAACATGGAACCTCAAGTGTGTTGTTGCTTTGGAAATTTCCAAATGATGTGGCAGCCATGAAATGACTAGTAGAACATACTAACAGGCGTCAGAGAGACACAGATGTGAAAGAGTGTATTTATTAGAAAGAATAACAAAGTACTTCATATACATGGTACTTATCATGTAAGATGGGGGTTATTGGACAGCGAATTTATTGTGCAGCCTAAAATACCAACCTTAGAAATGTAAGAATTCTCGCTTTAGAGATTTTTTAAAAATTAAAGTTTATTAGAGAAAGGTCTATTGAAAAATACTGCAAAATATGAAATTTTAGTAGCATCAGTGACCAAATATACTGTAAAATATCCTTTTAGAGTGATAGTGAGTCAACCAAGCATGACACAGACAACACATTTCCTTCTAAAATTGCAAGTATATAGTAGCAATATGGTATATGCATGAGAGCAGCAAAATTCTCCCATTAAAAAGTGAATGAACCTTATAAATGGTAACGTATACATCAAACTACTTTATGCATGGTATTTTTGGAATCCAAGAGCTCTAAAGTACAACCAAATCTAGATCTTTGTTAATGGACCATGGAATAAATGGAATAAATGAAGTTGACTTACTCATCTGACAACTGTTTTGAGCACCTCTTATGTGTCAGGCACTAGGAATGCAACAACGGACATGACAGACATGTTCCCTGCTCTTGTAAAGTCCACTGTCTACTACAGGAGCTGAAAAATGAACTATTACAGTAAAGCATGAGATGTGCTAATAGTGAAAGCACAGGATTCCACACAATGGACAACCAAATACATAATGAAGTACTAAAACTAGATTTAAAGGAGTCAGATGTTTTCCTGGAGTGCATGATGTCTAATTTGAAGATTTAAGGCTGTGCAGGTGTTGGTCAGTCTGACAGGGAGGAGATAAAGTACAACATGTACAATATTCACAGACTAGGAAAACATATTTCTTTCAAAGAGCTAAAATTTTTTTAGCAGAGCTGACTCTTGGAAAGGGATAGTAATATAAAAAGATTAGGTATGAAAGAACCAGTTCTTAAAGAGCCTTGTAAAAAATGTTATGGAGCCAGTTCTTTAACACAGTGGCAGCAAAACCAAACAAAAAACCTTTAAAAATAGTTAGGTTATGATCAGTGTCATGTTTTAGAAAGATTACTATAATTAAATAGTAGAAAATGAATGCAGGGAGATCATCGAGAATTCTGTGATAGAATTCCAGGTGAGATAATTACAGTAAGGACTAAGTAATGCTGGGAATGAAGAGAAGTAGAAAGATTTCAGACATTTTTAAAAATAAAATAGATAGGACTGGGTACTGTAATTGTTTATATGTGGGCATGTTGGAGAGACAGGAGTTAAATTCCTACTTGAGCCACTGAGGAGAGAACTGTGTCATTAATTGAGAAAGGCAACATAGAAAAAGATTTGGCTGAAGGATGCTGAGCTCTTTTTCTGGACACGCTGAATTTGAGGTATCATGGGACAACCAAGTGCAAGCATTGGGAAGCAACGGAATAGAGAGATCTTAGTCTGTACAGTGCTTTGAACTAGAGACAGACTCGGTAGTTGTTAGTATGGGCATAGTAACTGAGGTTAAGGGAGTGGCAGCAGTGTTCCAGGCAATGTGGGGAGTGCTGAAAAGGTAGGATGTTGGACTGAATCTCAAGAAGCACCAAATATTAAGTGTTGGGCAGAGAAATGAGTTAAAAAAGACCCTAGGTCTATTAATCCTGAAGATGAATTTGTGTATTATTTTACATTCTTGGCAAGTTAGCACTGCAGGTACTAACAGACATGAAAGTCTTCCTTGATTTGTTTTCTTTTTCTTTCACCTTGTAAAAGCCATGCACTGGTACTGAGAGCATTTTAAATAACTTGAAATCAATAAACACTTGTAAAATAACTTAAAATTTAATCTACAAACAGCCCTCTATCGCCTGATGCCCGGCTTTGCCTATTGAAGCTTATTTTACGGCAGGCCTTCACTTGCGCTGTTCTCTGCAGTCCCCTTCTTTCATGTCAGTGTCTCTTTTCTTGGTCCCTGGATGCTCTTTTATGCACTGTGGTTCAGTGATGACCCCAGAGTCTTCTCTGACCAAACGTGGTTAAACAGTGATGCTTCTCAAGGCAAGCATGGTCCATTAACCTCCATATGGGAAAGATCGAGGTCATTTTGGGTGGGTCAGTAGGGATTCACCTACATGCTTCTTGTTTTCTTTTCTTTCCTATCCACAGGAGTAAAGATGGGACTGAGGCTCCCCGAAGGCTAAGCAGTGGTGTGTCTCTAGCAACTAGCTCTGCAGGCAAAAACAGCCTTGGCTTGCAGGGTTTGCCAGTTTGTTGGTTGTAAATACTCCCACCATCGCCAATTTAAGCTACTAACTTGATGTCACTGAAGGATGGAAAAATGTACACAGTTGGCCCTTGCAAGCTAGTACAAGCTGGCTGTGTGCCCACGGGGACTCAGCATGGTCCGACTGGTCACCAGCATGGGAAATACCTTGTACAGAGCAGCCAAAACCCGAGAGCACTGCAAAATGCTGAGGTTTTACCTTCATTAAAGTTGACTTTCTCATGCATAGTTTATTTGTAGATCTGACCTTTTCTCTTTGAACTGAGGGCACATGATAGGTGATGTATACATTAATAATCTAATAACCTTAGCATTCTATCTTCTATTTCTTTGTGCATAAGCAGCTTAACAGGTTCTCTAATTGGCTTATATTTGAGATTGAAATAACAGAATGATTTTCAGTCGGTTTCTTATACCATGAACCAAAGGAACTAACAGTTTCATTTCAAGACATAAGTACAATCTACAGTCTAATAAACTTCCTTAAAGAAAATATTTTATTTTCCTGAAATAAACATAATTTTCCCCTAAATCAGACTAAAAGATTTGATGCCATATTGTATGAACCAATAACATATGTAGAAAGGACAGCAGCAACACATTCCTTATTTCTTTATATAATTTAATAATACCCTATTAACACCAGTGTGCAGATGCATAGTACTGACAGCATTTTAGATGACAACATTAGAACTCACTTGTCAAATATTTTCAACCATCAGCACTGGTGGAACCAGAGCAATTATGTGTACGACATCTTTTTTTTTTTTCATTCCTAAGGGAAATTAAAATTCCAGATAGCATTAGAAAAGAATGTACTTATTCATATTTTATGCAGATATCCGAATATCTCACAACTTCTATTGAAAACCTTGCAATTCTACTGTACAAATGAAAACATTTTTCCAAACTTGCACTTACACTAAGCTCATAAAGGTTGTTATAAAAATATTGTAAACCTAATAAAAACACAATGATATAGTACAAAGTCTTTTGTTTTTTAGAAGTCAAAATTTAAAAGGTCTGTATTTATACAAATGTAAAATGCTTTTTACTGTCCCTGACTGGTATTTTTGTTTAGGGTTATCTGATTTTAGAAATCTAAGCATTTTCTATCATTTTCTTCTTCAGAATGGAAGACACTAAGAATGCACAAGATTAGATAGAAATCTTACGAAGTGGAATAGTAAACACTTTCACAAGCTTTAGTTATTGCCACACCAAAAATAAAAATGCCCACTATTTTCCTTAGATTTCTAGATAACGATCTTAACTACCACTTTTTCGTTCTTGAAAGCGTAAAGATTTTCAGTTCTGTAGGAAAACCAAAAATATCACTAAAGCCATATTCCATTTTCAAAATGTAAAGAAATGCTTATTTCAATACAAAATCTTGTACTGCTAAATTAATACACATTTATAACATGGCTAGCCAAGTACTTAGTTATTCAGCTTTAGCTTTGGAGGAATATTATCACTGGCTGTTAAATTTCAAATTTAAGGATCTGATTTTATGTTATACTACTTGTACTTTCCAATACAGATATCACAGAAAAATGATCTAAAGTTTTTTCTTAGAATAACTGTAAATTATAGATCAATTGTTTGAGAGGAGAGAAAAATTCATGTTAAGATAGTAAATATATTGTTTTAAACCTCAGAACAACTGTAAAAAAACTATAAAATATAAATTTTTGAAAAAAAATACACGGAAAATGTCTCTCAAGGAAAAGTGTGCAACTTGTTGGATACAACAAACTATGTATTACCATGGGGTGCAGCCAACTATAGACTTGGCTTATGAGACTTAAAAAACTCACAAAAAGTAATTAGCACCAAAACTGTCTAAAACATCAAATGATATGCTGAAGAAACTCTAGGACCAGATATTATGTTATTAAGAAAAATTTAACCTGAGAACTTTCCCTAGCAATAATAAACATATTCTTTTTAATCTTCAGAAAATGTGCTAGCTTTGTTGATTTTCACCACTAATTAAGGTAATGTATGATAACCATCACTTAATCTTGTTTGGGCTGAGCAGGGACAATACAAATACAAATATATCTCAAACAACAGCATTGTTTGATGAAGTTTAGGGTGGTGAAGCTTTCCAATTAAAACTCTGGAGCTCATTTCCTTTTTCTTCTAAAATGTTTTATTGGAACTCTTTATAAAAATATATTGCTTGACTTGAACTTCATGTACTATTTTCCCTGCTCACTGTCTGGTAGTGTTAATTAATATGCAGCAGAGTGAGTGACACAGATGTCTAAAAGCGGGTACAGATCACAGGAGTGAAATAAGAATTTGGACTAGGCCAATGTATATTCAAAATATATGTCCAAGTTTGTCATAACCAAGAGGTTAGCTTAGTTTTAAACAACAATCACTTAGAAATTTAATTACAACACAGCCAGCACACAATCAGAAACAAGTTAAACTTTTTTGGCTTTCAAAAAGCCAAAATGTGTAACTTCATCTATTACATACATGGCTACCAAATGTCCAGCAATTCAGTTGACCATGTTTTACTGCTGCACATAAATAATGACAAGGCAAAGGACAGCAACCAGTCCAAGGGCTTGTAGGCCAAGGAACCACAGCATCAGCCAAAAGAAAATGACCACTACTGGCTCCACAATCCGCTCTCCGAAATACATTCTTGTGAAGCCCATGCTGAGGAGGCTTTTGTTCAGTTCACCAAAAAGTGTTCCCATCTTTTTGTAATCATCTGCCATAGGCTCAGCAGTGTGGTTCTGTGATTCTTCGGAATCCTTAAAAAGAAGAAAGACAAAACAAAACATGAATGTAAAATGGAATTATGTAAGGGTCTTCAAAAGTAACAGCTATCTTATAGTTCTTCCCTATCTTCAAAAATACTGGGCATACTTCTAATAATCATTCAATAATAATGGGAATTTTTTTTTGATTGACACATAGAGTACTGCCTGTACCTACCCTCCAAGAATGAGGAAAGCACTAATTTGTTGACTTCTGTGGAATCAATATTGACTGATCCCTCCACTACAGGACACTCATTTACGGATGAAGAAAGCAGCTCTTTTTGATTCACTGTCTACTTTCCTGGAATTGCACAAAGATAGGTGCTTACATGAAGGCTCATGTTTGTGTTTTTCTTGCCAGTGACCCTGCTTTCAGAAAAACCATTTCTGCTTCTCCCATTTTGTGAGGCAGGACTCCTGACTGCTGTCCAGGTAACTTCTTTGTAGTTTACCCCTCTACTGTGAAAACCTGAATAAAGAGTGCCTCAGCTTGCGGAAGCATGTCTTGTTAATACTGAGCAATTCTCAGCTATTACTGCTGTGATTGTTCAATGTGAGCCTCAAGGAAGTAGACTTCACGGTGGGCCCTGTACAGCTTCCTGTCAAATGCTACCCAAGCCCCAAACCTCTCTTCTTCATCTAATTAGAACAAATAGTTTTGAAAAGGATTTGTACAATCAGAGCAAGTCTTATCTAGGAGTCAGTGCCCCAGAAAATGTCCATGTGTACCCAATTATACATACTAAAAATGCTTACTATTTCTGCTATCTCTTAATCATATGAAGCCATTATGCCAAATTATTAAGCTATATCTCTTAGCTATGTCTATGTTTCCTCTTTAGAGGGACATCTCTTAGGAGCTGCTTTTCAGTGTTGGGAGGTAAAAGCTGTAAAGCACCTGGGGGTGCACCCTCAAAGGGACTAAGGTGTTTCCTAGGGTCCCCAGTAAGTTCTTGCAAGAGGACTGTGACAGAAGCTTGTGCCCCATCCCACCCAGCTTCCCTGGCTTCCTCCCTCCTCGCATCATTTCTTCCTCCAGCACAAGCTCCTGCCATGTGATTCACCTTGAAGTCAGGCAGCCCAAGGAAAGCTCTCACCAAATCATCGGGACTTTGTCATCCCAAACTGTGAGCTCAAAAGACCTCATTTCTTTACAAAGTGAGCCTGTCTTAGGTATTTTATTATGGTAATGAAAAATACCCCCACATTTTGTAATTTTCCAAACCTTTCTGGCTCCCTGCTAGGTTCTGCCAATAGAGGAGGCAGAGAGACACTGCCCAGGTGGAAAAGAAAGGAGGGATTTGGGTCTCTCGGTTTTACTTGGGTTTCTTGATCCTTGATCAACACTTCCTTGCTCTGGTAGCAGCAGTTCCTTCCAGCAGTGACAGCTAATGGCCATCCAGGAGATTTTGAGCATCCACAGAACCTGTCTCAGTGTACAGCCTTTAGATTCCAACTATAGCCAGGGGCACCTCCTCCTCAGATATCTAGTTTCCTATCTGTAGGGTGCCTCCCCCAAACTCAAAGATGCTGGTATTGGTGAACACTGAGCTGTTTTCAGAAGTCTGAGTTTCAGCACTATGGGGCCTTTCCTGAATCTTCTCCGTTTTAGTACATTGTGGCTTTTTTTTGCTGCCCCAGTCCTCGGAGTGGTGGCTACTTCTGGCGGTTGCTATCTTTGTGGTATTTAAACTTTAGCATGCATTAGGCTCCCTTTGAGGGCTTGTTAAAGCAGACTGCTGGGCCTACAACCAGCATGAGGCTTGGAGTCTGCAAATTTGCATTTCGCACAAGTTTCAGGGAGATGCTGATGATACTGGTCTTTTGACTACTGTCTTGGTTACTTTTCTCTCGTTACTGAGACAATATGCCTGATACCCAGAATTAAGGAAGAAAAGGTTTATTTAGCTCACAGTTTGTGGAGGTTTCAGTCCATACTTGGCTGGTTCCAAGGCACAGAGGCACATGGCAGAGGGCAACGGTTCATGGAAGACAGCAAAAGCAGCAAGAGCAAAAGGGAGGAGGGGTGGCAGGCAACCTCTTTCCCTACCCTACATTATATGCAAACTATCTGCCCCTGGGCGCGTGTAGCACTCACACCCATAATTCCAACACGGGACCATGAATCAATCATAAACTATAGAAGCCCCCCCATGACTGCGTGAGGCTTTGGAGGGACATTCAGACACACACCATAACAACTATCTTCTGACATTATCATCTTAGTGCTTCTGCTGCCTTCCATTCTTCAGTGCTTAGTTAATAAGTATTTATATTATCCCCACTAACATAAGTGGCATAGTTTCCCTACCAACAGCTGGTGGGATCGTGAATGCAGATGAAGGATTGCCAAGAACAGGCTTGGGCAAGCTGTGGCTGCTGCTCCTTACTACTTTCTCCTTCCTCTTCTTCTGAAGTTATTTGTATGTACAAGTTACACAGAAGTAGAGAAAACAGCATAATGAACCTGTCAACCAGATTTAACACTTACTAAAATTTTGCCACCTTACTGCTGTAAATACAGCAATTTAATAAAGTGGAAAAAATCAGTACAAGAATGCTATACAGTCATGTGTCTTCACAAATGAAATTCTGTAGAAGCACCAAAGATAACCAGCAATGAACTGAACAGCAGGTCCAAACAATTCAAAGATGACACTGGAGAACGTGTTAAAGAAAATGGGCAGCATTTCATCAACCTCAGCACTGTGTTTTCTATGTCTAAACTATCCCCTCAAATACCACAGTTCTAAAGGGAACAAAGAACGGTGGGAAGGCCCTGATTTGCCAACTCTATAGTGTTTTCCAATTCCTGTATTAGTATCCCCATTGTGGGCAACTTCAAGTTCCTCACAACAGGCAGCTTGCAAGGTTCCTATGAAGTTAGGAACTGGATCCTGCGGTCTGCTAGCAAGTGTTCCCCTGTAGGAAGAGTGGCTGAGGTAAGCTGAGATAAAGACCTGCATGGTTACAGTCAGTGAGTTTCATCCTCCTTCTTTCCGTCAATTGGTATACTTTTATTTATTTTTTTACAGTTTACCAGAATGAGAAATTGGGTAGTTTGATAGAAGAAAAGCATTGCAAATAAACTGAAATTGGGAAAATTGCATTAAACTAAGGCTTGTGATTATCTAATTACTGTCTAACTGTATGGTAAGCCCCATAACATAGGGGCAGTATCTATTTGTGCTATTGTTTTGCTCTCAGTATAGTACTACAAATTTATTGGCTTAAAACAACACAAATGTACTGTTTTATGATTCTGTACTTTAGAAGTTGTGTCAGCAGGACTGTTTCTTTCTGGAGGCTCTGGGAAAGACACTACTCCCACCTTCTCTAGCAGCTGATTACTTCTCGGCTCCTACAGCTCTTCCACCATCTTTAAAATCAGCACGGTGATTTTAAGGAAGAAAAGGTTTATTTAGAGAGGTTGCACCTCTCTAACTGTTCTCATGCGGTTCACACTTCCCTCTTCCACAGCAGGGAAAGGCTTTCTGCTTTGAAGGTCCTATGTGATTATATGTGACCCACCTAGGTAATCTAGGATGCACTCCCTCCCTCAGGGTCCTTAAACTCAATCACATCAGCAAAATTCCTTTTTCTTTATCACACTCATAGGTTCTGAGGATCACGGTGTGGATGCCCTTCAGGAGATCATTATGCTGCCCACTACAGTGTTTTATTATAGGATAATTTATATATCTATTTCCCGTCACTAGCTTTGAACCCATTAAGGCCACTAAATGAGACAGACAAGTCTTAAAGATTAAAACATTAGTACTTACTACATTGGACCATGACTAGCCCATGCAGGCATACAACAAATACATGTTGAATGAACAACAGAAATATTCTGTACTAATATACTAGGCAAAAAAACCCAAGATAAAAACAAAACTTTAATATCAATATGTATTTTATTTTCCTAGGAGCACAGATGTCAATTTTTCAAGTACTTGTAAGTTCTAGCTTAAAGGATAGGGTACGATAGCTATTAGCTAAAATGTACATGCTTGGCTCAATGCTTACATGTTGTCTCTTAAGAGCAGAGACTGATAGAAATGGATGAGTCTTGGGGTACCTCTTTTTTAGCTGTTTGTAATTCTCAGGGGAACAGCAGTACTGGTAGTGTTATTAATAGTGTGAGAGAAATACTAACACCAAGTGTTAGCACTCCACATGTATTATCTTGTTTGATCTTTCCAGCAGTCTGTGAGGAGGCACTATTATTTCTACCTGCACATGAGAAAGCTGTAGTTTCAAAGGAGTTAGATGTGGACAGTGACTCACACTGAGCAGCTGAGGGTCTGTGACATGAACCTGGACATTCTTTCTCCAGGGGCCACACCACTAAACCCTGAACTACACTCACTCTAGTTGTTATTATAGTCTTCATAGCTACTGTATGTTTCATGCTGCTTAGTTTTCAGAGGAACGTCAAACAAAATAGCAAAATTTTGAAAAAAAGAAATGCCATGGCAACTCATTTTCATTTCATACTGAAAGAGTACACTTGACGCAGCAAATGGGACATTAGTATTGTTTCTGCTTTAAATCTTTTCTCACAGTTTAAAAGTTTTTCAAAATAGAAAAATTACTCAGACCTTTATTTTCCTCTTGTGTAATCAAGAGGAAAGCTATTTGCAGCAGATTAGTAGGTTTTCTTAGCTTTGTAAGTAGTGACTAAAATTCAAATGTTGAACAAAAACAAAAACAAAAACCCTGTTAAGACTTCACATATAAAATGGGGCACTGGAACAGAAATGCAGATGAAGCTTTTCTCTCTGTGCAAACATTAATCACTCGTGCCTCTGCCAAATTGTATGCTTTGTGTGTGAGGCCCTAGTGGAAGGACATCTGTCAAGTGGACAGTTTCGTGGACTATGATTGAAAAGTATTCTCACAAAACAAGGATATTATTCCTTTTTGTCCATGATCAAAAACATACATTTCAAGGGTGTTCCAATTGATCAGAATTCTAAAAAGATGCTAAAAAAAAAGTGAAACCTTAAATAATCATGGGATTTCTGACAAGG